CAAGATTAGAGGTGGTGAGGTTCTTCCTCGTTCTTTGGGGGGGAGGAAAAACCGAACCAGTATGGGGCGCACAAAGAGGTTCTCTATGCGTTTTGCATGGCTAAAAAGTCCACTGACGTCCTTCCCCGCTGCTCTTTATTGACATGACAGTCACGTCCTGGTGGAAGTTGAAGCTTGCCGGCATAAAGACGGGAGCTAGCCCTCATCCATTTGTAGCTATGGCAAAACCCCCTCCCCTCGCAACCTGACAGAAAACAGTTGCTTCTTGTTCCAAACGTGCATTGAGCAGAGATGTACAGGTTTAAAAGGACTCGAGTGTGTGTGCGTGTGCGTGAGAGAGAGAGAGAGAGAGAGAGAGACCAAGCGAGAGAGAGAGAGAGAGAGTGCAAGAGAGTGTGAAACATAAAAAGGCTGCAAGAATATGGACGGCGCACAATTAAGGGGCTGGTGTGCAAGAAATAACTTTTCAGCGTCAGAGAGATGAACCAAATCCCCTAAAATGGGCGCAGAAATGCGCAGACCGCTGCAACCGTTTTCGCCTGATGCGTCTCATTTCACCTGTGCGCACGGCTGGCTTACCGATGTGTATGATGGAGTCCCCTTTGGCCGAGTTGCATTGCAATATCCACAAGGAGAGACAGACCAGCAGCAGCTCCATGGCGGCATGCAGCAGCACAAAAAGCTCATTCAAGAATGAAAACAAAAACCAACAGGGGGAGGAAAAAAAAAAAAAAAATAACAGGACGAAGCCTTACTGCTTGGCCGTCCGGTATAATCCAACTGGTCCAAACGGATTGATCAACCCACAACCCAATCACGAAATTTAAAAATATATAAAATAAAATAAAAAAAATTAAAAAAAAACCCAGCTACACGTCCTGAGCCACTAGAAGTAGCCACAGAAATGAAGAGTTCTGCGGGAAGGCTGCTCCGGAGAAGGAGGGGAGGGGGGCGGATTGGACATGCATGTGAGCTCCGGTGCAAGACACTTGGCGCTCCCGCCCTCCTCCAGCAGCCGGTGAGGAGAAGGAGGAGAGGAAGATGCGGGAGGATGAGGAAGAGGAGGATGGAGAGGAAGAGGAGGAGGAGGAGGACGAAGAGGAGGAGGAGCGCGTGCACACGCTTCCAAATTATTATTGAGGCAGGGGGGGTGAGAGAGAAACTCCACACCACGGTTCTGCGGATCACGTGACTGCAGCGAGTGCAGCTCGCTTGTCCCGACGAGCCCACTAGAAAAAGACTGAAAAGAGACGGGGAAAGACACACATGATAAGAGAGAGAGAGAGAGAGAGAGAGAGAGAGAGAGACAGAGACAAGGGGGGGTGGGGGGTGTCGAGGAGCAATGCGTGCACACACACGCGCACGCACGCAACACGTCCACCACCAGCACTGCCGCCGCCGCCGCTGCCGCCGCTGCACTGTGACCAGACGCGTGGCGTGACAGGTGCCCACGGACACGACGAGTACGGAGGACAATCACGCGAGTGGACTGTTTACTTTTGGAGAAGTTGCCACAGAGGAAAAAGAGGAGAGAGGAGGGAGACTGAGAAGGAGGAGAGGCTGGCACGCCAGTTTCCCGAGCACGGATGAGACAAGACGACCCGGGATCATCCACGTAAAGAGGACACTCGTGACATGAAACATTCTTTCTATCCATCAATTTATGTAGCGTATTTACTGGATTTTTTTTTTTTTTTGGTCAGGAATATTTCACCGTATGCGCGGGGGGGGGGGGAGGGATTGTGCAAAAAGAAGAGAGCTTGAAGTGGAGGACCCCTGTAGCCTTACAATTAAAGGATATTTCTCGTGTTTGTGACGAGACCGGAAATATCTCTTAATTGTTGGGTTAAGGGGGTTAAACGTGCAGCGGCGGAGTCGCTACGGGATGATGGAGAAGCCGTTCAAAAAGAAAAAGAAGCACCTGTGGAGGCGACCGGAGGCTGTCGAGTGCGCATATGATCATATCGGCATCATTGCTTTCGTTTTATTTCCATGTCATAGGAGCATCTTTTGTTATGCGGTAACATGTTATTCTCTCATGCAGTAATCATGTAAAGTTGTTTGGGGAAAAAAAAAAAAAAAGTCATCTACTGCCCCCACTGGCCAAAACTGGCTACTTGACAGCTTTGTGTGTTTATGTGCTCACAAAAATAGCCTATAAAGGGTGAGCAAGGGGAGCTATTTTAGCACACTGGCTTTGAAAATAATGGAAAAAAAAAAAAAAAAAAAACAACCACATTCCCTAAGCACAAGATGGATTTAGTGTGAATATTCTAAAAGCGTCCCCCCCACCTCCTCCTCTCTTGTGATCACTTTATGAGCGATGATGCCTCCCAACAGGGAAGGAGCGACTGCAAGAATAAATGATTGACTTTTTTTTTTTTTTTTCTTCTCCCCTCTCTCCTCTCTGGTAAATCACAGCTCCACGGCCAGTGGTGGATCAATCCAGATCCATTCCAACCGGAGAGATTTGGGGTTTGTGTTGACCCACTGTGATCAAGATGTATTATATGGGGGTGGGGGGGGGGGGTAAGACAGTAATATTGGTTGCACTGATATATGAAGCAATATGTTGGTGACATGATTGTATTCTCCACAGGAAGGCTGCCTTTTGTGTAAAGGTTGCCCTGCACATGCGGTGAACATTAGCATAAAAATCATGGAATTACGACTCTGCCGTTCGTTGGTGACCAGTCCTGGGTGGGGCCCCAGCTTTTGCCCGAGCTCAGCTGGGCTAGGCCCCCCCCGTAAAAATGGATGGAAAGCGCACAAGACTCATCATCACTCATCATTTCGAACATTGCGCACGAAACCCAAAAGATGCCGGCTGGTCGACAACCGCATGCACTAATACAGTCATGTCCAATATCGGGACATTGACAGAATTCTCATTATTTTGCCTTAAAACGTCACCCTTTTTTTTAAGGGAGCGAAGGTAATTCGACATTTGGCCACGTACGGCTGTTGATGGAACCGCTTCCCTTTTTACTGATAATTCGACTGCTGACAAACGACGCAGGATGGATTCTCAAATGTTTCTTGCAATATTAGCTGCACATATTCAGCCAAATGCTGCAGAACTCATTGCACGGTGCTTTATAGTGCAAATGGACAATAGCCCAAAGCATACTGCAAAATCAAACATTTTTTTTCAAGGTAAAGAAGTGCACTATGATGCAATGGCCAAGTCAACCAGCCTGACCCGAATCTGATTAAGTATGCAGTTCACTTGCAGACAAAATTGAATGGAAAATGCCCCAAGAACAAGCAGGAACTGCAGAAAGTTGCCTTCGAAGCCTGGCAGGGCATCAACAGAGTTCAAATCCAGCATCTGGTGAAGTCGGTTTGCACCAAACTTCAGGCTGTAACTGGACGCGTAAAAGATTTGCAACCAAGCAACAAAAAGTCTCATTTATGATTGTTCATCTGTCCCATCAATTTTGGTCCCTTAAAAAGTGGGACACCTTTAAGTATGTGACTGCACATCTCCAGTTTGAACGTAGATGTCACATGACAACTCCACTGTAACAATTTGCTATTACGGTAATTTACGGTGTATTCATGTATTTTATAATAACTGGAAAACAGCGTTCGTCATCCCTTGCAGGTCAATTCATTCGTCATTTCACAACATCTCATAAAGAGATGCGAATGTATGGTGCATCGCAACAGCATATTTTCATGATTTGAAAGACACCACTGAAGTGGCACCAATAAGAATTAAACAGATGAATTCATCAATTATCACCCAACACAGGGGGCCCCGCCATGCTATCAAAGTTAACAAATTTACACACACACACACACACACACACACACACACACACACACACACACACACACACACACACGTTTGAACTTCGCCTGGCCCATCTGTCCATTTCAAAAATCAAACGCAGCCCAAACTCTTTCTGTAGACGACCAACGGCGTGTTCTCATCAGGTTTTGGATGTTACCCTATGCATTAGAAACAGCTCTCCGTGTGCTGCGGTAAACTACAACTATAATAATAAAACTATTGTTCACTTAACACCAACAAAATGGAACTCGCCGCCAGTCCTGAAAGATGTGTCCAGCAAGCACAGGTCAGCTCCAACGCAATGTACTCAGCAATATTATCCTTATATTGCCGTTTTCACGCACACGCACACACACACACACACACACACACACACACACACACACACACACACAAAAGAAGTTCCCTGTTGAAATATTCATCCCGCAAAATTATTTATGAACACGCAGGAGAAGAACTGCGCGCCCGCCACCTGTTGCTCCATCAGTTGGTCCATGCAGTCAGCTGCCATGCATTAATAAGCACACTGAAAATGATGGAAATACATCAACTGTGTATTATATGGTTCGAGGTGTCCAATATCAGGCCCGGGGGGCGATTTGCAGGCCCCCGCTAATACAAGTACACCCTGAACTAGTGCCTGACCCCGATCAATAGGCCAGCCCATAAAATCCAACAAATGTTTTAAATATGACACATCAGCCCGGTTTCTTTGCGCCAGGTAAAACTGTCGGCGAACGTTTTTGCAATCTTTTACGAACCCTGACAAAACTCTAAGCATTCACTGCTCAGTGCAGGCAAAAACTTTATATGGGAGGGGCATTAAAGAGACTCAGCTCTCTGTGTGATCAAATATTCACTATTATTGTCAAGTGAAGTGAATTGATTTTAGTAGCGCCATATACAAGTTTGCACTCACAAGTCAAAGCAAAAATCTGCAAAATGATGGCTTGCATCTCAAGGCACCACTTTACCTTTGTTTTTGTTTTGCACCAATTGGTGTCAACACTGCTCTTACGGCAGTAATGGCTAATTAGCGAGTGCATGACGATACCCTGCTCTGGTGCAGAAAGCCCAAACAGTGGACTTATAAATGATGAGTGGATGCCAGGAGGAATCAAAGGCAAGCGGTTAGTCACGGATGAGTAGCACTATTGGATTAGCCATTCATTAATAGTCTATTCTTGTCGGGTAAGCTCTTTCTAACCCCCCCCCCCCAACACCCCCTTCGATTATTCATTTCACACAGCATCTTGCAAACATCCCGCCATGATTCACTCCGGCCATGCGACCACCTTTACTATCCACGCGGTTCATTTAAAGGAAGTAGCATCTCCCGCTTTCAATTATCACCTGACAAATAGCTGGAGGTACTCTATGTGGAATTTTTACGGGGGTAATATACATGTCTCACCACCGGCGTAACTGCTCTCTGACCTCATCGATTAGCGCCGCTATTTTAGTGCCACGACGCGCACATAAGAGGAACGGAATCGGCTCGGCGGCATCTTTTATTGGTGACGGAGCGTAATTCATCCCGTGCTGACGGACTGCAGGCTTTAATCTGCTCTCTTGCTATGATTTAAAAAGCAAAAGAAAGGTTAGGCCACGGTTAGCTAAAGTAGGAGGACAGCAGTAGAGCAACAGTAATAGTAATACAAATAGCAGGACAGATGAAAGTGGGGGGTATGTCACATGTAAAGACATGTAAAGATTTACAGTGACTGAAGATATATCGGCAAAACATTTCACTGGAACGACAACTTTGCGACGAGCAGCAGCTGACAAAACAGGTCAGTTACTTTAGCTAAGAAGACAAAAATAGGAAACAATACCATGGTTAAAAACTCAACAGCAAAAAGCAGTGAAATAATAGCCGACAGCTAACCAACTTCATATTTCTGGTATTAGTTCAACAAAACACTCGTTGGAATACTTTCAAGAACATTATTGCAATTTTCCTTGGCCTGTGATGGTGCTTTCCGCATTAAAAGTGTGCTACAGGTGAACGTGGCGAGGCATCAGCCTGCTTTTGTCCACCATTAGCATGCTCTTGGATTGCTGCGCTGAAAAGCCCTGGCGCCAATTTGGAGAGTGGTGTTACATTTTTGAGTTTGCTGAAGGGAAGAAAAAAATATATAAAAATCCATTCATGTCAGGCAGAAATGTGCAGGGAATAGAAAGAGAGGTGTGTGCCCGCACAGAGCCAGAGGTGAAAACAGCAGCGCGCTTGCTTCCAAATACACAGCCCGAGGTAACATTATAGATTAATCATGTTATGGGAGAACAAGCACAAGCTCCATCACTGAGGCTGAATTTCAATGAGCCAACTGTTGACTGCGTGGCACATCCCTCCCTGCCTCACCCCCTCCACCCCCCCCCCAAAAAAAAATTAAGAAATTGGTGAAATATGCAAAGGCTGATTAATAAAGAAGTCTTGCGGTGAACCACGCCAGTGA